TTCCAAATTTTTAAAATTTGCTGGAAAATGGTACCCGTGGTTCCAAATTTTAAAATTTTTCTAACTGCAGTACTAAAGTATTATGGGGTAGTGGTGTAGTGGTAAAGCGCTCACTTCATAAGCGAGAGGTTCTGAGTTCGATTCCCACCACATCCCTGGTAGTGCCGCGCTCAACTTGTTTCTCCGCGCAGAGGCATTGTTTGTCAAGGTTCGTGTTTTAGAGTTAAAGTGTTGAGAGAAGGTTATAACCACAAGTAGCCTCCTCATCTATAGTGGCCTTCTCGGCCTTGGGGAAGTGAAGTACAAAAAAAAAAAAAAAAAAAAGTCATCATAAAGGGCCAATGCTTTCGATCCAGTATTGTTTCTTACCTACATTAATGATCTCCCTGACAATCTTACATCAAAAGTGTCTCTATTTACTGACGACAAAATTTTATACTCATGCCTTGACAGAAAGTCTTCTCTTTTTGATTGTAAACTTGAATCTGATCTCTGTTCTATATCACCGTGGAGCATGTAGTGGTTCATGAATTTTAACTATAACAAAACTCGTTTATTTACTGCAAACAGTTGTCCCAACATTGTAAACATTCTTATATTGATGAATACTAAACTCTTACTGAGTCGTCTATTTTACCTCTTCTTGGATTATCATTCATTACTGACATGTCAAGAAAACCTACAACTAATTTCAAAGTTAACATCTGCTAAGCTTAATAAGTACAAATTTAATAAGTGGGTACTGGCATAAGTGCAAAGCAGTTGCAAAAACTGGTATACATGCAAAGTGGTATATGTGCACTAAAAACAATTTGCAAATATTGGTTTAAGTGTGAACTTTCATATATATAAAGCATTTTCATATATATAAAGCATTTTTCAAAGCAACTTTCATATATATAAAGCATTTTCAAAAACTGGTTTAAATGCAAACTAGCTTGTGCGCCAAATAAATTTGCAAAGATTTGCATAAGTGCAAATTTTCATAAATGCAAAGCATAAATTGGTATTTGTGCAATCTGGCATATATGCACCGAAAGAATTTGCAAAAACTAGCATAAAATTCATAAGTTTTTAAAAGAATTTTTAAAAACATTGGCTTAAATGTGAATCCTCATGCCAATTCAAACTTATGACAATGTGTTCAAACTCTTTTGGCACACATATACCAATTTATGCATTACATTCATGAAGATTTACACTTATGCTAATCTTTGCAATTGTTTTGCACTTTGCAGATATGTTAATTTGCATTTATGACAATGTTTGCATATTCTTTTGGCACACTTATGCCAGTTTTTGCATATGTTTTGTACTTATGCCAGTTTTTGCAATTATGTTGATGCTTGCCAATTCTTTCAATGTTTGCACTTATGATAATGTTTGCCAATTTTTTCAGCGTGTTGTTTTTTATGCCTGCTTTTGTAACTTTTTGTTTCGCACTTATTTGGCATAAGTGCGAAACAAACAAGTGTTTTGCACTTGTGCCAAATCGTTAAAGTTTGCACTTACATCAGTTTACATTTGTGTCAGTTTGCACTTAATCAGTCGCCTTCTAAGGTTGCTTGCCTTTACTGTGTATAGGTTATCCAGGTCATATTTTTAAAATCTGGAAAATTGTTTTGGTAAAATATCTGGAATATATTTTCCCTCATATTCTTCCTAATTTTTCTTTTAGGTGAGTTGTTTTAATTTTTTTTTTTTACTTTTCCTAATTTTTGTAAGAGTAATTAGCAAAAAAGCTTAAAAAACAAATATATTACAAAAATATATACCTAAACTTGTATGTATGGAAAACATTTTCGATATCCAGAAAAACTAGAAATTGTGAAAAATATCTGGAATTCTGGAAATATCCGGAAAAAGATAATCCCTGATTGTGTTCATCATTTCCTTATTTTTTATTCTATTCTCAACCTCTTCAAATCTCTTATTTGTCCCTGAATGGGACAAAAAAGAGATTTGAAAATACTTTTGTCATATTTGGGCTGATACTTCTAATAATGCTCTTTCTCTTCTAGATAAGGTTTAAAAACGCATAGTAAATGTAGTTGGGCCTTATCTATCTGTCAAACCTGAACCACTGTCCCATCATTGTAAGGTCACTTATTCTTTTTTCTATAAATACTATCATGGTTGCTGTTTTAATGAGCTATTATACCTAGTTTTTTTCCTCTTACTTTAATGTTTTGAAACTCTCTCCCATCTTTATGTTTTCCTGACTCATACAACCTACAATTTTCACCAGGAACCATATCCTTGCCCTTTAACATCCTTTTTTGTTTTCTAATAATTCCAAACTTAGTAGTGCTTGCATGCAGCATTATTGCGAGTAAACTAATTTTTAAAAAAATGTTCAAACCACCATAATTTGCATTTTTGAGAATACTCTTTGAATTCAAATTTGAGGATTGTTATATTTTTTAAAAATGTATTTTGTATATAAATTTAAATTTCATTTTGTTAATATACAATTAAATGTGGGTATAATTTAATAAATATAGCTACAAACTTTCTTTGTGTAAAGATTTGCAATTTTCAAGTTAATACAATCAGGGTTGCAAAAAACCGATTTTTTTGAAAAAAACCAAAAACCATAGGTTTTTTTAAAAAAAACAAAAAACCATGGTTTTTTTGGTTTAAATTAGGTTTTTACTAAAAAATGCGGTATTTAGTTATCCTTTTAAATTAAAAAAAGCATAACATATTTTATTTGAGTAAACTATATTCTTTATCAATATTATTGTTATATTTCATCAAAATTATTCAATATATCATTGTTTAATGTTCTATATATAAATACAAGCTTTGCTGCTTATTTCTACCCCCAATCAGTTTCTTAACTTAGAATGAACAAGACCAAAAGTTGAAAAAATTCTTTTGATTCCAGCACTATAAGCTGGTGCATTAAATAAACCTTTAATTTCCATTACGTTATAGTAGATTTGTCTTTTAATTTGAGTAATATTGGTAACATATTCTTGAACTCTTTATCTGCGAAATTCATGGCAGCTTCATTTTCATTTTCAGAAAGATTAGATCTAAAATATCAAAGATCTAGTATGTTTGCTAGGAAATGAGCATAACTGACAGTCTGAAGGTATCTAGATTCAATTTTTTTTTTTTTCGTTTGATAAAAATGATAAACTGTTCATCAAATATTTTTTAAAATTTCAAGAGTCACTTATTTTTGTTTGATCTCTTTGCAACTTATCTAGAGCTACTGCAATTTGTTTCAATATTTTCAATAAATCTTCTGTGTTTCACTTTATAAGTCTTTATTTTTTTCAAACATTGTAAAAATAATGCTCCAGTTGTTGACATATTTTTCAAGTGAATCACATACAGAATTCTAGCGAGTTTCAGTAGGAAATGGCAATTTTGTTCCCTTGCTTAATTTATGAATTGCTTTAGCTTGATGATTATTTCTTATATATTTTATTATTTGTGTAACATGCTTGCTCACATTTTCAATGTTAAGATCATTTGCTAAAAGATTCAGCATATGAGCAGCACACCCATAAGTAATAATAATATCTATTTCAGATGACAATACTTGCCTTATTGGTTTCACATTAACTGCATAATCAGTCACAAAGCTTTTTACTGTGCATCCAAATTTACGTTTTACAAAATTTATTGCTTCCCTTGCTAATTGTGCAAGATATTTACCAGTATGTGAATGACCAGAAGTGTTGATTGTTTCTACTAAAATATTAATTTTATCTATAATTACAAATATACAAACTATAGGTTCATTATGTACATTACTCCAGCCATCTAAAGACATGGCTAAAATTTCCCATTCAATATATTACATTTTTCAATTTCTTCTGTGTAAACCCTATCTAATATTTCTCCTCCAATATCAGTTCTATTAGGTATGGTGTATCCTGGATGAAGCATATTGATAAATTAAAATATATATATATATATATATATATATATATATATATATATACATATATATATATATATATATATATATATATATATATATATATATATATATATATATATATATATATATATATATATATATATATATATATATATATATATATATATATATATATTGAAGATTCGTTAAATTTGTGAGCATAACCCTATCTTAGTTTCCTGTTTTAAGTTTAAATCTTTTTAAAAAAACATTAGTTTGGTTTAAACCAACATTTTTTAAATTGGTTTAAACCATTTGGTTAAAACCATGCAACCCTGAATACAATTTATAAGTTTAAATTCCAAGTCCTAATTCTGTGTCATTATAGAAATAACTATGTAAAAAAAAAAAAATAAGTAAAGATCCAAAATTAAAATTTAAACTCTAACTTAAAAATAATGATGAATTATTATATATTAGTTAAAACTATGTAAGCTAAAAAAATGAGAAATTTGATAAAAGATTATTAAATCATTATTAAATGAAAAAGAAACATCTTTTAAAATTAGGAAGACAGGGGCTATTTTAGACCGTTTTCCACAGGGTCGACGGTATTTGGGCAATTAACAATAATTGTAAATTAAAAATAAAGGAACTTCATTTTTTTTTAATTTATTTTCTAGCAAATAGTGTTTTTTCAATGAAAAAACGAATATATTTGGCAATATTTCTGCTAAACTTCTCCAGGGAGGAAGGGAGTGGGATGGGGGTGGGAAGGGAAATACTGCCGCCAAAAGTTTTTCCTAGAATAGCATCTTGAAGAATACATAAAAATTGAAAAATGATTAACTAATTAATTAAATTGAATTAATTAATTACTTGATAATTTTTAATGATTAGTAGTACGTGCTACATTTTAAAAATACTTTTTAAATTAGGAAAAAAAGGAAAGTTGGTCAAAATTAAATTTTTTTTAAATATGCTCTTAAACACACCTTTATTAAAAAGATTTCAAAAAAATACTTTCAAAATCATAATATTTAAAGAAATATTGATCCAGCTTATATAATACATATTAACAAGTTAAAAATAAAAAAAAAAACAAAAGAAAATAAATTACCTTTTTTAATTAGAAAACCACTTTTTGTTATATTAGACTCTTCAGAACCACTATCCTTGATACTTAACCGTGGAATATTTGGTACAGGAGTTTCATTAGATGTTTTTTTTTTAAAGTTGTGATAGAATGATTCATACTTGCTCTAAAAAAACTATACATTAATAACATTGCTGGAAATAATAACATAATAATAACATTGAAATACCCAGCTTTTACTCTTCCTTTTGCTAGACCGGTAAAAAACTTTTGCAAAATATAAATTTTTTTATTAAATATATATATATATATATATATATATATATATATATATATATATATATATATATATATATATATATATATATATATATATATATATATATATATATATATATATATATGTTTTTTAATTATTCTTTAAAATCTTTATTAAAATTTGACACTCAATCAAACTTTAGATTACATTGCATAATGCAAATGAAAATAAAATTTGCATCACATGATGTAATTTCAACATGGATGCCAAACTTGAGTTTAATACTTTTAAAAATGCTTTTCATTTTTAATATAAATTTTTTTTTAATTTTTTGTGTAAATCTCATATATTATGTGCTTTTGTTGAATATTGTATATATTATTATGTTTATATTAAACATTATACAATATTTATTATACAACTTAATAAATTTATATTTACCAAACTTTACATTTTTTAACAAATTTAAAACTAAAATCTATGTATTTAATGTATATCATAATGTAAACAACAGAAAATCAGATAAACTGAAATTGAAATCATATAAATCACAAAATCAATTCCAATGTTGTTGGAGTTATTTTGATGCATTTTAAAAAATTTTCATATTTGATAACATTTTTATTGACAAAGAATACGATAAACAATTTGTCAGAGATCTGCATAACTAGAATAGGACCAAACTCAAGTTTGGCATCCATGTTGAAATTACATCATGTGATGCAAATTTTATTTTCATTTGCATTATGCAATGTAATCTAAAGTTTGATTGAGTGTCAAATTTTAATAAAGATTTTAAAGAATAATTAAAAAACAGTATTATATCGAGTATATGCACTAATACTGCACCTCACTACACACTAATACTGCACCTCAGATAGTTTTACAGGAGGTTTTTGATAAAAACCTCCTGTAAAAAAAGAAGATTTTGGGCTCATTTTAGCATAGAGTGTTTTATTCATGTTCTTTGTAATATCAACAATATATATTAGGTGTTTAAGTTATTATGTATGCATGCGTGTATAATCATTTTGCATGTATAAATGGTGGGCATTTTTCAGAGTTGCTGCTTCTTCTGACATTTGAGTAGAAAATATAAGAATAGTAAGTAGTGTTTATATTTTTCTTAAAATAATCCCAGATTAAAGATGTTGTAAAAGGTATAACGAGTGAAGACTACTTTTCTTTAATAATTAACGTATAATTTATGTTTAATTGTTTAAAACTAAAGTTTAGTTGTTGAATGTTGAAAACAGAATGAAAGACCAGGTGAGAATTATGATACCACAAGAGATTTAATTAAAGTAATGATACCAGATGATAAATAAAAATATGGATGCGATATCACACAATTATATTTAAAAAGTAATGACTGTTATAAAATCAATTCCTTTGAACAATCATTTTTCATACTCATTTAGAATAATCATTAAGGATTGCATCACTTGCAATTTCCTTTGGAGAATTATATGAAAAACTCTCTTTAATGATTGCAAAAATTGGAATAACAATATGAGAAACTATAAACAGCAGGGGCGGATCCAGGACATAGTGACCCCGAATACTGCCCCCATTCCTTTTTGTTTGCCCTCTTACACACTGTTTAACATAATTTAATTATTTGTAATAATTTTATATAGAAATAAATGTTAAACAAAATCTTTTCTTTCCTTTTAATCACGATAGAAAAAAATGTAATAACAATAACAGATAAGAAATTAAAATACACAAGTGATACCACACAATTATTAAAATTAAAACAAATATACCAGATCATCTGGCATATAAGAAATTAAATGATAAGCATGATGTCATACAACCATCTCTGAGAATTGCAGTCATATACATCTCTGTTATTATACGAATTTACAATTTCAAATTACTAATCGTTTATAAAAATAAAATGCAAGTTCTCATCATGACCCGAGTTGCAATACCAAATGATACTATCGGTACAAAACAATACCATTATAAGCAATAACTTTTGATACTAGTATCCCATGATCTCGATCTCAATACTGTAAGGTATCACACTGAGACCAAACGATCCCAATATAACCAAATGAGACCAAATGATAACAACATAAACGATACTTTCTACACCAGTATCGAGTGATCTCGATATCGATACTGTAAGGTATTGCAGCAATACCAAACAATACCATACAATGTTAACATTAACAATACTTTCGATAACAGTATTGCATGATTTTGATACCAATACCAGACGAAAAATCAAGACTTGAGACTGGTTATCTAGTGCCTAGTACCTAATGGTTGTTTAAATAATTATTGATAACTTAATAACTTTAAAGTTAATACCTTGACTTTAATTCAACATAAAAGTTTAAATTTAACTTAACAATCAAATTTTAATTTAACTTAATAATTTTAATAATTAATTGTTTTAATTATTATTGATATTGATAACTTATAATTCTATATAATATCTATTTATAACTTACTCTATCTAATGGTTGTTTGAGTGAAACTCCCTCTGAAAGTTGCTCAGTATTGTATCTTGCAATAATTGCTTCAATGCTAAAAAATACAAAAACAATAACAATTTTAATTATAATATTTTTAATAAAGGTTGTTATTTGACTAACAAAGATAATCGAATGGATAAAACATAATAAAATCTTCCGATAGAGTTTCTTAAAAAATAATTGGTTTCAATATACTTTTTTATTTATTTATTATAGAGCAAAATATATATAGATATAAAAAAATATAGATAGCAAAATGTAAACAGAATATTAAATACTAGTTTAAAATATTTTAGCAAAATTTTTAACTAATGCAAATTAAAATACCTATCAAATGATCTTCCACCTATAACAAAATGTCTCCCTTGTCTTCGGATAAGGAACCTTGAAACACCAGCATGATCTCTAAAATTTTTAAATTTATTTTTAATTGGTACTGCTATTAGATAATCAATTTACCTTGGTGATATCTTCAGTTTTATTTTCTTTGAATCTTTAGCATAGTATTATTTATATCAGTATTTTATTTTCTAAACGATATCATTTTGTTTTTTTAAATTACATCCAGAATTGCTTACCTTAAATTACATCCAGAATCGCTTGCCTTAAATTACATTCAAAATTTTTTACCTTAAAGATATTGAATAATCTCCACGATTTTCACTTGGACGAATTAAAAAATCACCAACTGCTCCAACTAAAACAAACAAACAAAATTTAAATTTAAAAAAATTAAACTTTTTAACTTTAAAAATAAATAAAAATCTAGTTTTTGAGCTTAAAAAATGAAGTGAATAAATTTTGCTGAAACAGAAAATCAATGTTTTTCTTTTCAGTTTTTATAAATTGTTAAACTAAAATATTACAATAAAATTGTTTAATACTTTTACTCAATTTTATTTGTTTTATTTGATTGTTTTTTATTTTCATTTTATTGACTGATTTAATTAGGTATTATTTAAGAGTGGAAGGAGTTTCTATGTTACAGAATAAGTATTTTTTATAAAAAGTTTCAGTTTATAAATCCAAACTTATATTTTTTACCAACTTTATGTTCTTTTAAAACATTTTTCTCAAATCCTGCACATTTTCAATCTTGTCGTTATACTTTAATTTATTAGAATGTAACAAGCATGTAACAAATTCAATTTTGTTTTCTATTAAAGAAAAAATTGCAATCAAAATTTTTGATTGCAATTTTCTTTTAATAAAAGATGAAATTTACCTGAAATTTTGTTTCCATAAGTCATTAATAACCACATCAACATAACTCTAATTGTAAATCTTATTGTAATTTTACCCCTTGATTTTGTAATTCATAATTTCTATTAGACATGAAACTTAAAATTCCTTAATAAAAGTTTTTTTATTTTAATTATTAACTGCTGTGTTTTTATATCTTATATTGCTGATTTAGGTGAGCAGTGTGATGTCATACTTAAATAGTCTGCTGCCGGGGGCTTCAACACATACATCGTCTGAGAAAAACCTGACTCGCAGTGGAGTGCTGCTAAAAAAAAACTTAACTTGACGGGATACAACTACTAAAAAAAGAAATGAACTCTTAACGAAGAAAAAAAATTAACTAAAACAAAATAAATTATGTTTAGAAAAAATTATGTTTAGAAAAAATTATAATTTTATATTATTAAACTTCTCACTTTTATAATTTTTTTTATAAAATTAAGCGACAATTTTACAAAAAGTAACAACTTACTATTAATGATCATTTAGTAAAGAAACAAACGTTCTTCAATTTATCAAAGCGTATAATATAATTCTTTGTTTAAGTATTTATGTTTTATTTCAACAAGATTTTAATAAAACTAATAGTAGTTGAATTACATAATAAATATAGTAAAAAAGTAAATATATTTTTATAACCATTTCATGCTTTGCGTAGTTTGCAATATATATTATATATGTTTAAAATATTTAAAACAATTCTTCTTAAGTAAGATAAAAAAAAAATAATTATTAAATTATTGCGTTACTATAAATAACAACCTTTTCTTTTAGCAGTGTCTTTATAATGTTTTAAAAAATTCTGCAAAAGACCCCTGAAACAGCAGTCTATAATGATCAGTTTCTAAACTACTCAGTATGTATACATTTAATAACTTTATATTTACCAATGCAGTAGTGGTGTAGTGATAGAGTGCTTGCCTCATGAGCAAGACGTTCCAAGTTCGATCCCCACCACGCCCCTGGTAGTACCACTCTTAACTTGTTTCTCCGTATAGTGGCCATGTTCGTCAAGGTTCATGTTTTGGAATTATAGAGTTGAGAGAGGGTTGTAGCCACAAAAAAAACTAGCCTCCTCGACTGTAGTGGCCTTCTTAGCCTTGAAAAGGTGAATAATTAAAAAAAAAAAAAACTTAAGTCTATCGGTTTATTTTACTATAAGACATTTTATAAATTCATTAATAAAAGGCATATTATATACTAAGTAAATTATGATTTTATTTTGTCTTTTGCAAACTAGAAGCACATTTTCATTGCAAACTTAAATGGAACTAAAAATGTAAAATACATTTATAAAGAGGAAGATTATCAACGTTTTTGTTCTGACCACTGTGTGGTGCTAGTTCACCCATAAGTCACTTTACCAAAATGCATGTTTATGTTTTGTTTGACCCTCTAAGTGGTATTTATCCACTCGTAAATCACTATGTATATATGTATGTTTATGTTCAGATGCCTGTAAGTTTCTGTATGTTTATTTGATTATTAATTTCATTACCTTTGATTATTTTATTTTTAATTTTATTGAAAACACAGTTGTTGTTGAAGGTCTTATTTTTATAAAATTAATCATACAAATATTGAACAATCTTACAAATCTTTGTATGGAATATTGCTGTCATATTCTGGGCTGATTCTTCTAATAATGCAAAAAATCAAGAGATTTTTTGCAATAGTACTATTGATGATAAATACTGAAAAGTACTAGTACTATTTAATTTTTTTTTCGTAATATTTTTATATAAAACCTTTTCCTTAAAAAAATTATTTTATGAATATTGTTATTTTGCTTGGCAACCTTTTCCTTTATAAGTCTAATAAGTATAACAATTTTTTTCATTTTCAACATATTTCAACAAAAATCATTTTTAATTATAAAACTGTTAAATACAAAAACTATTTAATATATAGTGAAAACAATCATAAATGTTAATTTTTAGTCAAACAATGAAAACATGAAAGGTGTGAAATCTATGTCATAGATAATAAAATTATTGTGTAATACATACGCCATAGGTAAACACGTTAAATACACACATATTTTCAAGTATAATTTCGAGACAAGTCTAAGGGTCCTTAAAATTATAAAATTTTCTGTCATTATTTTTCAAAATATGTGGTCAACACATAGAATGATTTAGACAGTTAAGTTTATACTGGATTTATTGAACATAAATCAGTTCAAAAAACGCAAAAAAAAATTTAACTGTTATAATTACAACACTCTAAAAAAAAAAAAAAACAGAAATTTCTAATTTAGGGTAGGATATGAAATATACACTTAGTATGTTAAAATTTTCAACTTTTTAAGGTAGAAAATTATATAACAAATAATCATTTGTCATTCAATTTTCTACCTTTAAGGTATAATTTTCTACCTTGACTATAATACCAGCTTCCAACTAATTTTAGATTTTATTGCTGAACATAAACCACAGATGTTATAATATTTATGTAAAAAAACTGTACTGTAAACAAGAGTGTTTTTGCATCTTGTTTATTAACACCACATAACACTTTTTTGAAAATAGATAAATACTAACAATTCATGAGGATTGTTTGTGCATCCTGTTTATTTACATCACAAAACCATCTAAAGAAAGAAAAAGAAACAAAGTCAGAAAAACTTATTTAATATTTAGTTTATATTTTATTATTTATAAACTTACCTTTTATTATTTATAAACTTACCTTTGACCTTCAAATGGATCAGTTGTGGAATCCTAAATTAAAAAAAAAATTAAAGACCTTAAAAATTAAAAAAAATTTTAAAAATAGAAAATCTTATAATTAAAAATTTATTTAATTAAGCGAGTATGAAAAACTTTTGCATACGTGCTTATCATAAAACTTTATTTTACTCTTGATAGTGAATCATAAGTTTTTGTTAAAAGCAAACAGTTGACAATATGATTCCACCTCTGTAATTGCCCGAGGGTCATAGCAGCTGGTAAATTTAAGGTTATTTTAGCCCTATCAAAGGTTATTTTAGGCCTATCATTATTAGAATATTGATAATCCTACATCTATGAATGAATGAATACTACTTCTATGAATCTTGATATATCTATAAATGATACTTCTGCTTTGCATCTAACCTGACTAACTTACTGAACTCTCTAAAAAAATGTAAAAACCAAAACAAAATCAGCACCTGCTGATTTTGTCTTGGATAAAAGTATTTATCCAAATAATTTAATTTTGTATAAAAAAAGTTAGACTAACTCTAGCAGACAATCTAGAAACCAGTGTCTCTGTTATGTCTTTCTTTACCAAAAATACTACAATGGTTGCTGATCAAACAAGCCATCATTTTTTGTTCCAGCTAAATTACAACTCCTTAGCCTCATAAGAACAACTCATAAATTATAGCTGTCTATTTTAAAATCATAAATAAAGAATTGGGTCTAAATGTACCTTCAAACATTTTTTTACCAATTTGTCATAATGTTAACACAAGAAACAATGCTATACCATTAAATATTTCTTAAAGTGAAGCTTGATGTTACAAAAAAGAATTCTTCTATCAAGGAATACTTTGTAACAATCATCTAATACTCTCTTTTCGGCAGAGTACAAACCAGCATGATTACAAAATAAAGAGCAAGATTTCAAAATAGCCTATATAATTTCAAAAAAAGTAACATGATTTTTGAATGATTTAAAATCAATAAATACTTAAACTTTAATAAACATTTAATGTAAGTTGCTATGTTTCAATGTTAGTTTTTTGATAATGTTAATTTTTTTGTACTAAATTTATGCATTATACCTGTAATTTTATCAGGGCCTGTAGGATAACAGCTAAATTTATTTTGCTGAATAGGTATTATCTATACAAAAAATTTTAAATCAATAATAATAAATACTTTTACAATAGTAGTTCCATAAAAAAACTAGATATATAATAACTTTCATTCCTCTAACTTTACTTTAGTGAAAATAATACTTTAAAACTATCTTCCCTCATACACTTTTCCTGAATCATTTGAAAGTTTATAGCCATACAGGGACTATTCAAGACCGTTTTGGACAGCGACCGTATTAGGATGCCGCCCAAATAATAAATAGAGGACTTTTTTTTAGTTTTTTACAGCAAATATTGTTTGTTTTTTTTTTGCAAAAAAACACTGATATTCAGAAAATTTATGCCGAATTTCTCTATGGTGGGGAGGGGGTACCAGCGCCAAAATTCCTAGAATAACCTCTGCCATCTGATAACTTTTTTTTAGCTCTTTAATCAACTTAATTTAAAACTTACCTAAAGCTAAGTTAAATTTATGCAAAAAAAACCAAAAGCAAAATAGGTAATTTTAATTGGTGATTAAAAAATACATCGCAATTTGTACTCATCTAAGTTTCAAATAAAATAATAATAAAAAATTATAAAGACACATACTAAATCCTCTACTAAAGCTTTTGGAACCAATCCACTTTTATTGTCTTTTTGAGCAACTACCCAAAACCAATCATTGACTAAAATGTTCTGCACTGAAAATACATCACCAATGTTAAAACTAAAAATAAAAATAAGTTTTATTGTTATACAATTAGAAAATACTTCCAGATAAAGAATAATATTTTTGGTTAACTGACACTTGTTTCTTTTTACTTACTTTTTTTTTCCCCCTGAATTTCAGATAATAATTTTAGACTATCAAATGAATATATATAAGGGTGGTTCTAAAAACAACTTTTTTGAAAATGACTGCTGGCACCCCCTGAATATGTGTATATATATATATATATATATATATATATATATATATATATATATATATATATATATATATATATATATATATATATATATATATATATATATATATATATATGTATATATATATATATATATATATATATATATATATATATATATATATATATATATATATATATATATATATATATATATATATATATAATTATATAGATTATCATTTTTTGTTGACTGTAAATAATCTCTTTTTACTTGTTTTTTTCTCTTTTTTTTAAACTTCAGATTAAAACTTTATTCTGATGACATCAAATAAAATATTTATCTTCGTATTTACTTTATTTAGTAAAATGTTTTTTAAAGTTTAGAACCTGTATTTTTAATTTTTTTTTTTTTCTTAACAATATCAATTGAACAAAATTCAGTAACAATTAATGTGACATAAAACCTTAGTCCACTTCTATATAAATGTTTATTATTTAACATATTATAAAATACCTGAGTTCATCTGTATCTGGACTGCCTTGAAAAGGAAATCTAGCAACAACTCTATATCCCAAATGAACTGTTTCGGATGGTGGAATTGGAGTTTTTAATTTTTCATTTTTCATAAGACAGCCATATGTTGAATAATATCCAGCAAGGTGTTGTAAAGAGTGAAACTTTCTACCTCCAATGTAGTAATCACCACAAATTGCAGTTATTCGAAAATGACTAATAGAATTTGTAGCACTTAAATATGATAAAGAATAAATACCAGGTTTTCTATCACTTTCGCGTATAAGATATGAGCAAGGTATATTTTTAACTAAAAGACGCTGTTCTGCATCTTGCCTGTCTAGTATACCATGATACCAACTTCAAAAAAAAAAGAGAATGAATAATATCAACAACAATAAAAATAAGCAATGAAAAAGATACACAAAATCAGTTAAATCTAAAACGTACTTTTCTGGAGACGGTGCATGTTCATAAATAAATTTTTCTAACTTCTTAAATTCACTTTCAACATCGTCCCCGTCGTCATCATCAATATCGAATTCTTCTCGGTCAGCTTCATGAAAATTTTCTAGATTGTCAGTTCCAAGCATTATTATTTATTTATTTCATATTAAAATTTTGTTTTATAAATTTGTAACAAAATTATATCTAAAAATCAATGAAATCTCATTCGAGATGTTATGCTTCCATGTAGAAAAATACACGAATATATTAAAATATCGATTTTGTTTAGCTTTTCAAACGTAAAGAGGAGAAAAAACGTAAAAAGGAGAAAAAGAGCACAAAATAAGTGCGATCTCCAAGTGAATTTAGGGGTCGTCCATAATTTACATCATGCAAATTTCCAATGTTTTTGACCCTATTCCCCCAGTCACAACATCGTAATACTTTAGTAACAAGTCTCGTATGAGCCGTCACAATACCACTAACACCTCTTCCCACCGCCCCCTTCCTAGAACGTGACGTAATTTATGGACAACCCCTTTTATGAGAAATTTACGAAAAAATGAAATCCTTATAGGCCCACAATTATCCTCAGTTTAAAATAGTTAGATTATTAATTATCAATAACCTAACGACTTTAAATTAGATGGTATGAGATTTTTTTCCTAATTTCATTTAATATAAAGACAAGATTTCTTAATGCTTTATACAGTAAAATCGATAAGAAATTTTTTTCAAAATATTTCTAGAATTTTTTATATCTTTTTATAATTGTTCAAATTTTTTTTTATTCAAAGGTTGAATTTTTTTTTTTAGTTTTTGCAAAGCTTTAATTTTTTTTTTTTTTTTTGACGGTTATAAGTGTCTTTTTAGTCATTCAAGAGTTTGCACATTGTTAGACTTTATGTTGTTTATTTTTATTTTGGGAAAGCTTTTGCTGTTTGCTAAAAACGAAGATGAAAATATTGGGAGCTGTATTGTTTTGTAAAAACGAGATAAAAAAAATCATATGTTTAGCATGCATTATTTCAGTCATTCAATAGTTCGTAATTGATTTCATGCAAAAATCTTCAAAAATGAAAAGTTGAATCATTGTTAACTTGCATTATATATACTTTCAAGGTTTTTTTTCGATTATACAACTTCTAGCATTATTGTTAATAGAAAGGGAACGAATATCTGTTTTTATGATACAACTGTTTATTTTAGAGTTTCTGTAGATATTAATAATAATATAATCTATGACGGATGATGTTTCATGAATAACACGCTTTGGTTTGTTGATTGCGGAAAAAGCACTAAACTAGGACAAATAAGAAACCTCCTATAAATAAATTTTTTGTAGTTTGAATAAATACTTTCTTAAGTATTTTTCAAATTGTTTGTAACTGTCACATGGTGGTCGATATACAGCTTTTATAAACGCATTTTTATCTCTATTGAATGTGAGTTATTAAACTACAATGTTAGTTGTTAACTATAATATACTATAATAACTATAATAAGATATAATGTACTATAATATACTATAATAACTATAATAAGAATAACTAAAACTGTAGTTTACAATAGAGTTATTAACTTTTAAGTTTAAAACTCTATTGTTTTGTTCGTCAAGGAGTAGTGAATAAATATAAATACCATTTTTCCTTAATTGGTGGGTGGATTTATAATCAGGTAATTGAAAATTTTAATTTTCAATTTTTTTTCAAGTTTCTATAAAACAGATAACACTAAATTTAACACTATGCTATTAAACATTATCCAAAATTTTGTTTATGTTTTCAACGTTTAAATTTAGTAATGACGTGCTTGATAATGACGTGCTTGATTATGACGTCTAATAAAAACTTATAACCTCCACGGACATTAAAATAACTTGTTTCAATGCAAATATTGTAAAGGAAGTTTACGTTAAGAATAACGTCCGTAGTAAAGCGTCGTATGTTTTTTTAGTTAAGTGTCATCTGTTTTCTCTACAAGAAGTATTTAAACAATTTAAATTGTTAGTTACCGCCATTTGGTTAAAAACATGTTTAAAAAAGGAGAAGTATAAATGTTTGAAAAACCCTTGACTGGTTGAAAAAACAGAAAATACTATTTTAATTTCATTAAATAGCTGAACGATTTTGTTAAAATATAAGCTAACATATTATGTTTTTAAATTCCAATTTTTAAATAAAAATGCATAGATAAAATATATTTTGATTTTAAAGATCTGCTACGTATGTTAAACTAGTGCTAGAATATAGACTTTGATTGGAAAAATAAAGGTTGCGGGTCATTTTTAATTACCGATTAAGAACGTGTTTACTTGGTAGGAAAAGGACCGTTTTGCGACTCTGGAACAAAGCATCCGCTAGATGAGAGTCCTATAAAGCGGCATTTTTTGGTTGATTTATTTTTAGAAAGTTACAAAATGGGGAGTGCTTAAATCATTGTTGGTTAGTTTATTTGAACCATGAAAGTGCTCTATTATACTTTCGTTGCTTATTGTTCTCATAAAGAAAAATCAAGCTACTCTCGAGTCCTTAATACATAGAGGAGGAGAAAGGGAGCTTTAAAGTATTAAGAACTTAAAAGTAGCAATTTAAGGAAACAGCGGTTTGAAAAACACAAACAGCTTGTGTGTTCTAATTCATCATGAACCGTTCGTGAGGAATAACCGTTCTATTGGCGTTTGGATTGAGCTGGAAAATTATTTGAAATAACGAAAGAAAATTAAAACGAAAAACAAATCTGGTGCAAAAAGAAACTTTTTTAAAAAAGAACCATTTCAATTTATTTTTTTTACCATATAAATTATTCATAACATAAAACATATAAAAATACAAATAGCAGGGGCAAGAAGAAGACATTTGTCTTATCGCCAAGCCCCTTAATCTATACCGTAATACACAATAATAAAATATAAAAATCGGAAAACTACAACACTACATCATATAAAGTATTGTTATATAGACTTTTTATATTTATAAGAAACAAACAACAAACAAACAAAAAGATAAAATTCATGGGTCCTGAATTCCCCTCACTCATATGAAAATCTACTTTTTTTCTTATTTTAATATTACAAAAGGACAACAATTAAATACCAAAGTAAAAGCAAATACTATAGTATAGCAAAAAATTATATACTTAAAAAGCATGCACGCAAATACTCATAATCCTGAAACTTTCCTTTCAAACCAGTATACACCTTTACATATACATCAGAAGAAACCATTCGCTACGTTGCTCATCAACAGTCTTTGCTTCAATTTGGTTTTAAACTCGTTAAGCGTTGCAATTGTTTTAAGATCATTAGTTAATATTTTATTCCATACTTTTGGTTCTCTGGTAGAAATTGAAAATTTAGTAGCCGCAAAATAGTTTGTGGGCTGATGGTAGCTGTTATACGAGTATCATTTTGAATAGCGGGTTAAATATTTTAAGAGATAAATTTTTATTAATTTTGAACCTAAATATAAGAAGATGATAGATGTTTAATTGGTAGATATCCATTATATTCCCCTTAATAAACATTGCTTGGGAATGTCTAAAACGTCCCACATTGGATATGGTTCTGATTGCATGTTTTTGTTAAAAAGTTTTTTAATTTTATTTTTATTAATACTGCACCAAGCAATGTTTGCATTTAAAAAAAAACAAATAAAACTTTTTTTTGATAATTTAGATGACAATGAATGAAAGAGAAATATAAAAATTTTAATCAATTTAAAAAAGATTTTGCTCTACAAATCAGACCGATGTTTTTAGAGATTTTACTTTCGAGATAATGTATGTGATCTTAACACGTCACATTTTCATCAAGCAGAACACCGAGAAATTTCAAAGTGATTTCTCTTTTTACGTCTTGATTATCAATACAGAGTTTTGGAAGTTTTAAAGGAGTATTATCTTGATCATGAAAACCATGGAAAAAAAGTATATTTCATCTTGGTTATATTTGCACTGAATCATTCAGTAAGATTTATTAACTCTTTGTTTACAGATTTGAACAAAATGTTTATATCATTATGTGCATAGAATAGGTTTGTATCATCTGCAAATAAAATTGTATCTAGTTTACCGCATGCTTTACTTAAATCTTTGATATAGATGAGAAAAAGGAGTGGCCTATAAAAGTCTATTTTACAGTTACTATAATACAGTTTCTTGTAGAACGGAGTTTAGCACTTCGTGGCACTGTGGATTGATTGTTTCAAACAAAGAATCAATATTTTTTGGGATTGAATGGGTTGTTAGGAAAGTACTCTTGGGTGTCTAATACTAGGAAGGTTGGGAATAAAAGGGGAGGGGTGGTAGTTTTAGTATAGATTTCATTAGCAGGGGGATGGGCAGGGGTCTTAATAAAAGAGAAGGTGGGAATTTAAAAAAAACAAACGAATAAAACTTTTTTGGATAATTTAACGTCCCCTCCCGTGTATTAAGCGCATAAGAGTACGGTTCGTGTGTAGAGTTAATTTATGACATATTAAAAAAAAAAAAAAGTTCGTGGTCATGGGCAAAACAATTTAAAACAAAGTAATTAATTTGATCGGCGATACAACCTTGCAAAAAGTTGTAAATAAAGTTCAACTTTTGAAAAAATGTACCATTCATCAATACTCTTGTGGAAATTATGATCAATTAAATTTCAATATGAAATCAGTTGATGGTTTAATAGGCTATACAATAAGTCAACTACTAACTAATAAAATTTATTTCATGACACACTAATCAACCAGATAAACACTCATATTCCAAAACGAATAACAAAAAGGTGGAAAAAAAGTTCTCCGTTGTTTAATGGGCGACCGTGGCGTAGTGGTTAGAGTTCTGGCTCAAAAAACAGAGGTCCGAGGTTCGACGCTAGCTCCAGCCCAACAAGTGACATTGGTACGGAAGGAGGCGTAAACTTCTTGTTAAATGTTCTCCCGCAGTGCTCTGTGGTAGTTAAGGACTTTTGGCACAGTGACTCTGTGGAACTTAAGGACTTTTGGCAGCAACTAAATAACTACATATTAAAAAAAAATAGCAGTGTCATATTAGTCATACAGGAAAAAGAAAAAGCATATCGAAACTTTCTTATTACAAAAACCAGATCTACACCTTAACTATGTTATAAAGCCAAAAATTTATACAAAAATACTATGATATTGTTTGTTACTTCAAAAATAAAATGCAAAAGCTTTTTATAGTAATGTAAAATGCAAAAGCAAAATTAATGGCTCACCAAATATTAGTTTTAACAATAAAACTGTCAATAACGAAAAAACCATTCGAAAGCACGTATCTTCAACAATTTCTTTACCTCGGTTTTTGCTTATGAAGATATAAAATCCACTCCAATACCGTAACACTTTACTTACTTTGGCTTTGGTTACTTTGGCCAGCGGGGTTACTTTGACCTTTTTTAAAAAATTTAATTAAACATCTGTAATTTTTAAACAGTAAAGTAACGTTTTACTATTTTAAATAGTAAAACGTTGCTATTTTAAAACGGTATTTTCTTTAAATAAAAGTGTACCTAAAATCTCTACTAACATTGATTTATCTCCACTATTACCTCCAATCATTTGAGTAATCTTTATTTATATATCTGCAAGACATTCATCTTTTTAACATTCATCCCAGAGCTCTTAAAGAATTAAGTCATACAATCTCAGTTTTTTTCTCCATAATCTTTATGAAGTCATATAATGATAGAGTGTTATAACAAGTCCGGAAAAATGCTCATATTATCCCTATTTTTAAAAAAGAAGATGAATCGCGGCCGAAAACTATAGCCCGATTAGCCTCACCTTGTTTAGCAATTCTCAACATGGATTTATCAAAATTCATTTGTATCTTAACCAACTTTTTGCCATTTATCGAAACTTGGATATTAGCCTTGGAAAATAAAACTAATAAAGATAATATATATCGTGTAAGGTAGTTAGGTCTACAAAAATCTCGCCCTACTATGTTGTTCTACAAAAGTAACACATACTAAAAACTGGAACTAGTTTTCAAATAATATACTGAGACCCAAATTGTTTTCAACCTATTATAGTCTTTTTTATTTTCAACCGATTTATGACGTTTCCTTTTTCGGCAGATTTATTTTTCAACCTATTTTATAGATTTTTATTTTCAACTGATTTAAGATAAATTAATTTTTAACCAATTACCTGGTCTGTTTTTAAACGTTATTTTTTTTTAACGTCGATTTTTTCTTTCAAAATTAACAATTAATAAGTTTTCCAAGCATTCATCAAATCCTATTCAAGCAACAACAAAATATACAAAAAAAAAAACAACCGGAAAAGCATAGTTACAAAATTGAAAACAAAGTAAGTTGAATAATCAGTAGCTTGAAAACTCAGTAGGTCAACGATTTAGTA